TCAACCCCTAAACAAAATCCCCTATAAGCACATCCCACAATTAGGGGTGGATCACGTTCGGTTTTCGTCTAACCGAAAACCAGAACCTTGGTTATCAGTTAGCTGAAACACGCCCAAATTCACACCGACAGCCGACCGATGAGACGTTTGGTTAACCGGCCAATCGACGGTGGTTTTTCGGTTTTTGGCATGATTAGCCGTGAAATTGAAATTCTGATGGCGTGGTCGGTTTAAACTGATAACTGGCCCGGCAACAGTCTCGCCTGCATAAAAAATCAGTAAAATCACCTAAAATTAAAATTTTAAACCTACATTTCTACATCTAAATCACTCAAAGTAAAGTTTCAATTCCTTTTGCATCCAAATTACATCTAAATCACCAAATTAAAGTCTCAAAATCAACAACATAAACTCCACAATTCACAATAGTACCAAGTAGCAACAACAACATCAACAAGTCATCATCAATCATCAACACCAGGAGAAGAACCAACATATGCAAAGTCCTTTTCATTATTGATGGGGAGGAGCAGGTAGGGTTGGAAGTTTGGTACCGGTATATGGGATATACCGAATACCGTACCAAATTTGTCTATATTTGGTATTACCGAATACATGTATTATTTATTGGGAGTTGGAATTCAATTTCAATTGTTATTTGGTATTAGTGAATCACTAATAGTGATTCACTAATAGTGATTACAGGACTGGGATCGATATATACCGAAATACCGAACAATACCAAAATATAAGTTAGTGAGTATTTTATCCTCTCAACTAGACTCTCTCATTCACTACTACACTACCCTCAACCACCAATCTATTGTTATTTTGATAACACCAAAAAGCAAACACTAGTATTAGTCTTCTCTCGGCCTCCAATTCGTCAAATTAAAAATTACCAATAACAAAAACTTGAGATGTCACATCTACTTCATTCTCCTTATCTATATCCTCGCTCTAGCCAAACTCAAAACGCTTTGGTTAAGTCTCTTTGTTCTATATTAAACAATCAAATCTAATTTATATATTTAATTAATAATTATAAAGGTAATTAAGTTCGTATTTGATAATATCGATTTGGATACCGAAGTACCGATTGGGATAGCGAAATTTTTAGGGATTGGGATACCGAAATTATTTAGGGGTTGAGATTGGGATTGATTCTAAGGTGTTGGGATACCGATACTGTACCGATTTCCACCCCTAGAAGCAAGGTCGGGAAGGGAGACTGCGAGGACATAGATCAGGGGGAACTGGGGAAGGGTTTCTAGAGTATGGAGGGTGGAGGCGGAGGTCGATTATTATGTTAGGATTTAGTTTTGGGGAGGTTGTTGAAACTGGTGGGACAACACGAGGTGGTTTTGGCAATTTGGGTTGCGGAGGTCGGTTAGTCGTGTAACCGCAGTTAATCGCCTCAGGTTAATCGGCTAACCGAAGCACCCATCTCCCCTCTCAACATTGACTGTCGTCGTTTTCCGTGGGTTTTCGTTTGGCCAATAACCTACGGTTTTAACCCTTTGCCAAGGGAAAGGAGTTGTGGGCTTAGGCGTTGTTTAGAGATTGAGATACTCCCAATTTATGTATTTAATTAGTAGTGTATTGTAATTTGATTTATTGATTAAATGTATGAATTTGAAAACTAAAATACCTTGTTTTGATTGTGTTTTTATAATTAATAAATTTAGGTAGACAATCTCTTGTTAACAATCTCACTTTTTGGTAGATATTGATAATAGGTGGGTTTATAAAAAGATAATACATGTATTCTATCTCATATTTAACAAAAAAAAAATGATTTAATATTGACATTACATGTATTGACTAAATATATTACTTAAAATCACAACTTCCAAACGACCCCCTTAATATTTGTAGCTACAAAGAGTTTGCTGAAACGTTTCGGAAATGGAATTGTTTTGTGTAAAGGCAAACTTATTAAGAAGGATGCAACATGCATGTAATATTCATTTACTAGTTAAACTAGCACAGGGCCCGACCTGTTTGCCGGAAGACTTTTGTCGAGAAATATGATATATAATAATGGATATAAGGTAAACACCCAAAAATTAGCAAACCTCTTAAGTAGTGGACATAAATCGCCAAAACTATCCAAAATACCATAAAATAGCCAAACTTTTTAATCTGTTAGATAATTTTAGTCTTCCGTTAGTTTTACAGTTAACTTTGATGATGTGGCTAACAAAAATGGTGACATGGACAACCTTCTGTGACATGTAATATTGATATAATTTTTTATGATTCCACCTCGACATTATTTACCCCATATTTTCCACCAAAAATTAATTATGAAAGAAACATTCCCCTTTTAAATTTTGATTTGTGTCCGACCGAATCCCTCGCCATCTTCTCCCACCACCGAATTCTCCGGCTATCTCTGTCTTCTAGAAAGAACCCGCAATATCTTTTCCAGGCGACGACTCTTCTTTAGAGGCGTCTATTCTCCGTCTATTCTCCAAGCACTGGTACATAAATAAATTAAGAAGAAGTAAATCCCTAATTTTGATGATCGGTCATCAAGCTAACACAACTATTTCACAATGAGAAGAAAATTCCTAATTTCAATCGCCAGGTATCAAGCTTCCGAATTCCGATGGTGGAAGCATATTGGTTGTGGAGGAGATGGTGACTTTAAGGGGAGGCAGAGGTGGACTCACTGTGGAGGAGCAGTGGGATGGCGGCTTGGTGAGGGCCACAGAATTCAAAGAGGATGATTGAATGGCGGTGATAGCGACTTAGTGGCGGATGTGAAGGTGGACTTGTCGCAGAGGAGGAGCTCAGGCTACGGCGGAGGAAGATATAAATTTTTTTACTTCAAAGTGGGTTGACGGTAAAAATTAAGGGAAGGCTAAAATTGTCTAACATATTAAAAAATTTGGCTATTTTCTGGTGTTTACCCATGGATATATAATAGATTATTTGAAATGTATAAAATAATTGTTTTCTACCTTATTTATGCACATAACATATTTGAAAGTGTTCCAACTATGCATAATGTATTTAGACCTCCATGAAAAGAGAAAAAAATATAATATATGTATTACTTAAAATTATTGAATGAACAAAGAAATATATATAACTAATTGTCATTCATTACTTAATTAAACCATATAGTTGAATATTAGAGTTGTTTCTCATAATACATACATAATTAACCCTTAAGATGAAAGAAAATGTGTCTCATAGAGTTTAGTAAGTCCTTTAAGTTTTTTCCAATAGAAAGCATTCTTTTTACCACACCGTTGGTAATGCAACTGAAGTTGCTTCATTTGAAATATATAGGACATGATGCTAAATTGTTGCTAATAGTTAGTTGGACAATGTGTTGTGTACGGACTTCCCAAATTATTCTCAGATCGTAGACATGTCTAGCAACAATTTAGTAATTTTCATGCAACAAATATTTTTTTCATGAAATAATTCAATAAATAAAAACCTATGGAAATTATATTACATGAAATATATGTTACTCATTAAGTTGATGAATGAGCGAAGGTATAAGTAACATACATTTATTTTAAAAATATAGAAGTTGCAAAATGTCTTCTTGGGTTGAATGAGATCGCATATTCTCATTATCGCTGACTGCCTTATGCTTTTTTGCAATAGATAGCTCAAAATGTGCCTTAAGACTTTTGTTACCATGTAAAAGAATTGTTTGAACCAAATGATTGTAGTATTTTATACTGAAATCATAATTTAAATGTGGTTCAACTGTTTCATATTGCTAAATATCACGTATCAATTTAACCTATGGTGTGAAGTTTTATAGTCGAATCGCCAATACGTACGACTTTCAATTCAAACTTTAAATAAAAAACCACTAAAATATTGACATTATCAAATACCCTTAAATCTCAGAAATTACCATAATCGTATTAAAAAAAATCATCCAAATGATAATATTGATTTAGGATTTTAAGGGGTCGCTTGGAAGTTGTGATTGTTAAATAGATGTTTTGTTGTGAATGAATGTATAATATTATATATGTATTGTCGGAATAGATGCATTGTGTATGTCACATAAGCTCAAAGCTGAGACAAAACAATCTCAACTCACATATCTCAGCAATCACAACTAAAAGTTGAGATATAACAATCACTCATTTTGAGTGATAGTTTCCCTCACGTCACATATGTAATCCATGTATTGTTTCTACTAAAAAATAAAAAAATGATACATTCTAAACAATACATTATAATAACAATCTCAACAAAACAATCGCAACTTTCAAACGACCCCTGAATTGAAGTGAAAAAAATCTATCAAATATAATGTCATCTTGTAAAATAAATCAAAACACAACAGGGCCAAGAATACCCACTAAGCAAACCAGAAGGGCAATTATTTCACACTATCTCATTTTCCCCCTTTTTAAACGTGTCCTCTCACTCTCTATTATGTCCCATTCACTTGCCATTTTGTTTCTGTTTTCTGGTGTGACAAAAAAAAAAAGATAAGAAACGTGTTTACTTGCAATTTCATTGGCGGAAACAATAAAAGATCGTTTGCTGGAAAATGAGTACAAACTCATCAAAGATCAAACTCTACCTTTTACTATCAATTCAATATACAATATTTCAAGCATTGAAATTTGTGTTGCAATTTTAAGATTACCAGTCATTTTATAGGTTATAAAAAATTAGGGCTAATACCACTACAACACCCGAACTATTCCGAAAATGTCACTTGTGTCCTATTGTTTTCAATATTCCATCTGTGTCCTAAACTATTTTTCTGTTAAAGTTGACTTGTTTTGACCGTTAATTTTTAACAGAAAGTCTAGTCAGTGTTGATGTGGCACATGACGTGGAATTTTCATTTATTTTTGTATTTAATAAAATAATTAAAGTAAAAAACAATCAAAAAATAAAAACTTTCCATCTCCACCATTCACCCCCTCGACCCTTTCTCCCCGTTCACCCTTCCCCGCATCTGCTGCTACTCCCCCCAACAACAACAGCGACACCATGCTCCAACAATCATCTCCGATTTCTTCACCGAATGGACTCTCCTCCTCATCCACGAGCGAGCATGATGTGAGATGCAGATGCCCACAATGAATCATCGGCAAAGCTCGACGAATCCAGGCCGTAGGAGGGTTGATTTTTTTGGTTTCTAGGTTCTATCGCTAGTAAATCAAGGCGGCGGATTTGGGTTCGCAAGAAGCGAGGTCGCCGATATGGGGGGTTCCTCGCAAGTGCGAGGTATTTGGGTTCCTCCATTGATATGGGGGGTGTCGCCGATGGATAAAGTCTGTACTGGTAGTCGGAGGTAGTCCTAAAACTTGCTCTCGTCGACGTTGAGGCTCCGGAAAGCATGTACGAGCATCAAAAGCAAGAGACGGAGAATGGGAGACAAGGACGATGCTGCTGTAACTGCAGCAGCAGCACCAGATCTGGGCTTGCTGCTACTGCATTCGTCGAAGCCGGAAGCTGGGTAAGCTAAATCCACCTCCCTTCTTCCCCAAATCGATGGCGATGCGGATCCAGAAGTCAAAAACATCTGATTTCGCTATGGCGATCCCCCTATTGTCGAAACATTCGAGCTGTTCGTGGTGTTAGTAGCGAGTTGTCGCCAACACGCTCAGGATCTCCTTTTGCCGGTGCGAGATTTTTTGATTTCTGGAACATAACCCCTATTAGACTTCGAATGGGCATGCAATCTAGACCAAGAACAGCTGGTCCTCGTGGAATGATGAATGACAATTCAGCTTTCGCCAAGGGGCAGGGGACGAAGATGAAGAAGCAGAGAAGAACGGACCGTCGACTTCGAAGATATATATTCTTGAATTTTGGGTTTTTAGAATATTATTTAGTAATATTATTGAATTTAGAGTTTTTTCAATTTTTTATTTTCAAAGTTTTATTTGATATAAATTAAATGTGAAGCGTCAATGACGTGGCAATGCCACGGCAGCAAAAGTCAGTGTTGAGTTGACCGCCGTTCGGTCAACTGTTATCTTTAACGGTCAACGAAATTGGCAGGATACAAATAACATAAAGTATAATAGTTCAGGACATGAATGGAATATTGAAAAGAATAGGATACAAGTGGCATTTTCGTCATAGTTCGGGTGTTGTAGTGGTATTAGCCCAAAAAATTATAATTACGTATTAAACTTTGTTTTTCAAAAGACTTAATAGGCTAACTAACCGATAGAAAATTCCTCTGCTTTTCGAATCTTTGCTAAGTGTATGCTTACAATTGAAGAAAATAAACCAAATTATTATATCTTATAGAAAGTAACTAATTGTGAAATCCGAACTCAAGCAACATTGATTCAAACATTAAATATTAAATTGTATGTGTGGTACAGTTTAGATAAAATACATGTGTATAGCCAAAATATGGGTCTTCGTGACATATATAGTAATTTTTTGTGACAAATCTACACATAATATAAAGATAAATTTGGCTATATACAGGATGATTGTAAAGCTATAGGCTTAAATTGAGTAGTCATAGTGGGGGGAGGTAGGAAGTAGTAGGGGTTGCGGGTTGGGTCTTGTACTTGCCCCCTTCGTTGTATCAGCGTGCATTTTGCACTTTCTTGTTTTGGTAATAAAATGGGAACTGATTCAACAAAAAAAAAAAAAAAGTTCGTAGAATCACTCAGGCCACGAAATTTATAAAGAGACTCTCGTTTTCCAATTTTATCATTAGATTATATGTAGATTTGGTCAAAGAAATGACTATACTCGTTACAAAGGTCCATGTTTTGGTTACACTTCTGTATTTTGTCTAAACTAAACTAAAATACACATAAAATTTAATATTAATGTTTGAATCAATGTTCATTGAGTTTCGATTTCAGAATTAATGTCTTTCTTAATCGAATCATATCTTCTTCATTCTAACTCGAATTTCAATTTTTTTTGCACAGATGGAACGAGTTAGTTGTGCTCTACAAAATGAGATCCATTTTCAATAATCTTTGAGAATTTTTTTGCATACTTCTCCTTACCAATTTCATACCATATGGTATCTCCTTCCTTTTTAGTCATTTTCGGGAATTTTTGCACTGAATGAACGATTTAATCATGATCTATTTGATTTTATAACTTTATAGGTGACAAAATTTCATACCTCTCGTTACCAACTCCATACCATACTATACCACCTGGAATGGGGTAGTATTTTTCATACCATATATGGTATGCTCTTATTTAATACCAGCCAATAACATATGGTATAGACTGGTAATAACTGGGTCAAATTTTTTGTTTCAAAATATATCAAAGTGGATATTATTTTGAAGAACACAATTAATCTGATTTAATTGTGCAAAAAAAAATTCAACTTTAAACGAGTGAGAAATCGTCCGTTAAAGACTAAGGGGGGAATTAAAGGCTTTCCAGGAGAGAGAGAGAGAGAGGGGCGCTGATGTGGTGGATTCTGCTTGGGTTATGCATGGGTTATTGACCACAAGGTTATGCACCTGATCCGGTCCCCCATTGCACCTCTACACTGAGCTCATACTAATTACATTTCTTGTTTTGAACTACCATTGCACTAATACAACTATCATTGCACTAAAAAAAGAAAGAAATAATTCAAACATATTATTAAATGCAACACAAATTAATTATCTTTAAACCTATAATTATTAGGAGGTCATTTTTTTAACCCATTTAGGGGTAGTCATGCTATCTCACCCCTGATTCTAGGATAATGGGGATATCACTAGCATCAAAGGCACAGGTCCTCCATAGTTGCAGACCCAAAAAATTTATATAGGGCTGTCATCTTTAAAAAAATAAATTAAATAAATACTTAAATAATTAATAAAAATTATATAATTATTCAATAAAAAAATACACGACTCGTACAAATTAGAAAAAAGTCTACGATGTGTTTTCATATTCGGAAATAATTGTAGAATATACTTTCTACAATGCTAAAAAAAAGTCTTTGTATATCCTACTAGACAATCATTTCGAACATGCCACATATTCGATTTCTAAACTTGTTCTTGATGTAACCCAAAACAGAAAAGACTCTTTCAACACTTGTCGTACAACCATAAAATCAATACAAATTAAAGGTAGCTTGAAATTTGTTTAATTGTTAGGTTTTCAAAATAATTAGAGATGACATTTTACTATTACACCACAGTGTTTAACAGCGAACAACAAATAAGTTGTAGTCTAATGGAAATTATGTTTATTAATAATAATAGTGTCCTAAGTTTGAATTATCCAAACTATCACTTATAATCCCATACACAAATTAACAGATGAGAGTAGTATAATCATTTATTCAAATTTCAATAGTGTGTCCGACTACTATAATTTTTTTGTCCATACGAAAATTACTATCTAAAATTTAGGAATGTCCCGCAACATCCAGACACTCCTTTTTTAATTTGGGAATTCTTATGCTGATGCACAACCATGCAACAACAACATCATCAGAAGTGGCATCAACGGTGAATATGGAGCTACGGGTCCAACCTTCAGTATTCCATTTTATATCAACCCTAACAAGAATCTTGCTCAATTAGTATCCAGCCTTCCGTAATCCTTTCTATATCAACTCTAATGAGAATCTTGATCGGTCAGTTGTATAGGATCAGTTTGGCTCTGCTGTAGCTTTTGCAGAAACAGCTTCTAGCTTGTTCTTTTAGAGAAGTACTTTTCATAAAAACAGTTGAGAGTTTGGTTGAAAATTTATTAAAAGTGCTTTTTAATATGAGAGGTTGTGTAAAATGACTATAAAGGACTTATAATATAAACTTTGAATGATAATTTTAAACAATAAAATATAGTCAAAATGGGTTTTGTTAGACTTTTTTTATATTGAATAATATGATTTTATACTTTAATAAAATATGTAGTTTAAGATGGCCCTAATTATCAATGGTGTCTAAAGCTGTGATTATTTTTTTTGAAAGGGTCTAAAGTTGTGAAGGTTGTGCTAAAACAAAACACAAGTTGGGTTGTACGATCTTGCTTATTTATTCCAATTATGATTTAATATGAAATCATAGACCTTCAAATTCTAAACTATTCATTATTAAAATATTTATAATATCAAATTTCATGGGATTTTAATGATTTTAAGTTCTGGTTGAATTGATTGAATTTGGAGCAAGTCAAATTGAGTTAACGGAATTGGATTAAATTCTTGGATAAATATTGTTTCCTCCACAAATTAGTGAAACATAACACATGTTTTTCAATCTCCTCCATCAACATCATCAACCAACATAACCTCACTAATCATCACTAATTAACCACTTCCCCACAACCATGGTCATCAACTCATAGTCACCATCGACAAATGCCAATACTTTTTTTTATCTCACTCATCACAATAGTACGCTGTTGCTGTTGAACGATCAACTACTACTCTCTCGACAGAGTATTAATCAACAAGTCTATCATTGCTAGTGCTTATACATATTGAGTTCATTAACTTGAGTCATATTTTGGTAAAAAAAGAAAATAAACTAGGTGATCTTTATGCAATTGACGCTAAAGAAGTGTGGGCTTCGGCCCAAAACCAAATAGAATTCTCTCGGCCCTTTTCCTTTACCCATAGAAAGAGGAAGAGAGGGAGATTAGGGACGCTTCTTTTCTCCGACCTGTCGACTCGAATCTGTTCTTATTTCGATTTTGCTTATCATGCCGTTCTAATAGCGCCTCCAAGAAAGGAAGTTTGGGAAACAGTAGCGGTCACCGGAAAGTGTGGAAATAAAACGCCCCGGCGGTCTGATTAGCTCTCCGTCCTCTGCCTCCGTTTCTTCTATCGACGGCGTAATTCGCTTCTGCCCATTGATTGCTGTTCCCCTGAATCCCGCCACAGTCAACGGAGCCAAATTTCCGTGTTCTTATCGCTTACTAGCCAGTTGACGTCCGGTGACGGAGATAGAGGGGATTCTAGCAATTTGAGGGTTCCGTTTATTCATGTCTCGCTTCTCTTCCAAGTATAACTAGGGCAACCCTCGGGTGAAGACGTGAAGAGCGCTACTAAACTAACTTCTCAATCGAATCTCCATTTCCAGGTAAAGAACCTTCCAGATATTTCATTGCTTTCAACTTAAGGATTCATATGATAAATTGATCATCTTCAGTAGCATCTGAGGTCATTGATTTAGAAGAAAGTTTCTGAATTAGGCTTCTTCCAAGCCACTAATTCTGAAAGCATTGATTTAATTTTGATTATTTGGTTTGTTAACTTCAGCAAGTTCTGTTTGGGTATTGTGATATTTGGTTTGTCTTCTCCAGTTGTCTGCAAGCACAAATTAGAAAGATGGATTCGTCACAGAACATGACCGGAGGAAATGGTGGTAATGGCTCATTATCTGCACAGGCGAATGATACTGCTACAGCAAATGCATCAGCCAATGATCCAAAGGAGAATCTAAACCAGGTTATAAACTCCATCCAGAAGAATCTTGGCCTCATCCACCAGCTTTACCTCACCGTGTCCTCCTTCAATGCTGCCTCCCAGGCTCCTCTACTTCAGCGGCTGTAACTCATCTCAACCTTTGTTTGCTTTCCTTTAGGTGCTATATGATGCAATGGTCTGTTTTCCTGGGCTATTGAGCTACTTTATTTTTAACTTAGGGTTCTGAATTGTGCAGCAACGGCCTCATTACCGAGCTAGATAATATGGATAAATTGGCTGAGAAGTGCAATATACAGGTTCCAATGGAAGTTCTTAAGTATGTCTCTCTGCTAGTTGTGTCGTTTGAGTGGATCTGTACTGGAGCTTTTATTCACTGGTGTCCAATATGAAGTCGATATATCTTCCTTTCTTGTTAGTTTGATTGATGATGGGAAAAATCCAGATGAGTTCACACGAGATGTCATAAACAGCTGCATTGCCAAAAACCAGGTTACCAAAGGGAAAACTGACGGCTTTAAGGTACTATTCCATCTGTCTTTTCCCTCATCACATTTTATGGGAGGTGCATGGTTGAAGCTTTAAAGAGTTTGATATGGATGGTTATAGATTCATCCACGTACAACTTTGTTTGTGTTGACAGGCTCTACGTAAGAATCTCTTGGAAGAACTAGAGCAGGCTTTTCCTGACGAAGTTGAATCATACAGGGAAATACGGGCGATTTCTGCTGCTGTAAGTTCACGTCCACTTCTATTTTTTCCTGATTTTACAGCTCTATTGTACCTTTGGATGTCATGTACTTCATCAATAAGGTTGTCCCGTTCCATGTGATATTCTTGGTCTCAAAGTATGTCGCTGGGGGTATCATCGATTGAATATCAGGATGTGTGTTAACTTTTATCCTTGCTACTAGAAGTGTAAATCTTGATGCTGCATTGCATGTTACAGGAATCGAAACGCCTTGCTCAAGCACAAAGTTCAATGCCAAATGGAGACGTGAAGCTTAAGCCCGAGCTTTGAGGTTGATGTCGGTGATGAATAACTGTTATCTTCAGTTCTGTTTCTTTTTTTTTTTTTTTTAACTTTCTTTCCTTTTGTTCCTTCTTCTCTGCATTGTTACCTTATAGATCTGATACTGTTCTTTAACTAAATAGGAATGTACTTAACAGAAAATTCTAGGCTAGTGATGTTGAGAATTCAGGGGGATTGGCGATGATAGTAATGGTGGTGTTGTAACTCTTTGGTGCGACTTCCTGATGGATTAGTGACTAGTTCTGTGTTTTGAGTATGATGATTATATAGCATCCTTCATTGGATTGATAGGGTGTTATGGGTAAATTACGACTGATTTTTCGTAATGACCGGGCTCGATTGGATGATGAGGCAAGTGGGTCTATTTGCTTCATCTCAGAATTGATGCATCATTTTGAAGTATTTGTCTCCCCTCTTTTAATTCAAATAATTCAAATCGATGCCAAATGAGGTGATTTAATTTGCTTAGGCATAATTGCTCCATCCCATTTTGTGTCTTTAAATGATCAAAAATTTGGGTCTATTTCTCAAGTGGTCAATAGTTTAGATTCCCTAAACAAACTTACTTCACACAATTTTCTTCACGTATCACAATTGTGATTTTAGCTTGAATCTCGCTCAACATAACTGGAATTTCAGCCTAACAGAATACATGTAAAAGTAAATGATAATTTTACTAGCATTATACCCGGCCCGACGGCCGGGTGATTTTAATATAATTAAATGTATTAAGGGAGATAATAGGAATGTATCCGGTTTACAAATTCGATCGAATCATCGTATTGTATATGATTGGGGATTTTGTATGATTTGCAAGTCGAGGTTTTAAATTGGAATCCAAGAAAATTATTAATCTGGTTGATTTGTATGTTCAAATTATTTTGAATATTTAAATTTAAGATATTTTTCCGTAGCATCTTCTCCAAAAATAAATTTTTGCATGTTCATCTTATTTTGTGTATCTATTGACATTAATCAATACACTCTAATCAATTATCTTATACAATGTACACTTTGAAATTCAAGAGTATACAAATGTACAATCGCTTAAATAATAAATTTGGAATGTCAAAAAATAATCTAGTTGAATTTTTATAAAATTTCAAAAGTTTCGTATTATAGAAAGCCATTACTTATGAGAAAGTTTCGGCTTAAAACAAACAACAAAAAAATATAAACTCCGATTTAAAGGCAAAAACTTCCAGGGAAAATTTTGAAAAAATCGGATTAGGATGATGGCTAGATTCAAAAAAGATGAAGTGCCATGATAAATTGAAAATAAAACATAAAAAAAAAGATAAAAATAAATATAATTACCGTGGATTAAGGAGAAGCCTTTAAGGCTGACGTGGATAGGGTTCAATTGTCAAACCCCTTTAATATATTCTAAGATAGTACTGTAACGAAATTTTCACCTTTCAATTGAAACCCAGCAAGTTTCAGACCCATAGGTAATTTTTTTTTCTTTTCCTATTCAAATTTTCACTAGGTCATTAATTTTCGCATGCATCCCTGTAAATACGGTTATATAACACATGAATCAACATGACCACCATTTCCCGCCCTCTTCGTCTCCCAGGTTAATCATAAAATCCTGACGAGGTTTCCTCCGTATCATCAGGTGGCCGTTCTCCATTTCCCAAGGGAAAATTTTTTCGCCTGAAAAAAAACTTCCCGGACAGGAATGGCGGCGGCCACCACCACCAATAGGAGGAATTCCCCGGACAGAAAAAGCGAGCAACTGGTGGCCGTCGCCGTCGACAAGGACAAAGGTAGCCAGTTCGCCCTGAAATGGGCGGTCGAGCATTTGGTTAATAGAGGGGATTCCATCGTTCTTCTTCATGTCAGGCCAAAATCATCCTCAGCATCATCCGGATCCGCTCTCAACCCATGTAATCTAATCAAATCCCTGTTTCCTTCCTTCCTTCTACACAAATCTTTTTGCATTTCATCAATTCCGGCATTCTGAATTCCGTTGTTTTCAACTTTGTTGGTAGGGGGAACTCCTAGTTCCATCTCCGATCCAAAAGACGACGGTAGTGGTAAGAAGCAGTCACAATTCGATAATGCAACCAAGGAGCTCTTCCTTCCATTCCGCTGCTTCTGCTCCCGGAAAGAGGTGCCATTCCATTACAAGAACTCCGTTGATTAAAATCCATGGCTAAATTCGTGCATCTATTGGTTTAATTACATTCCATGATATGGTGGAGCATAGGTAAAAGCGATCGAGGTACTTGTGGAGGACGCAGATATACCAAAGGCAATCAACACCTACTGCATTGTCAACGGGATTGAGGTGCTTGTACTCGGAGCGCCATCTCGCGGCGGCATCATTAGGAGATTCAAGCTCACAGATGTGCCCAACAATGTTATGAAAATGATCCCCGATTACTGCACGGTGTATGTAATAGGCAAGGGGAAGATCCAATCCATCAGAAACGCCACTGCGCCTCCGCCTTCCAGACCCAACTTTTTCGTAGATGGCTCTAGATCCTATCGAAAGGGTAGGTACCCTACCCACATTTTTTCGTATTATGCTAATGTCTCAATTCTACTAGCGATATAGGGCTGAATCTCAATAAATCATATGATGATAATGTCAGTCTGCCATGCTAATTTTGTAATATCGTTTTGTGTAGACTATTCGCCATTGAACAGCATGATAGACGACGCCTCCTCGTTGATGTAAGAGCCTGGATTGGATGCGTTTTATTTGAATTTGTTGTTGATGCATTGAATGAGCTATCTGGATAAATATCTAACCTTTTGGGTTGGTGATGGGGAAAAACGCAGGTCGTCCGGTGGGGGAAGAGCTTCGAGCGTGGCAGATATGGACATTTCGTTTGTCAGCGGTGCAAGGATGAGCAGTGTGGACAGAATCCTTTTCCCTTCCTACGGTGACAACAGCGAGTTCGATGTCAGCTCCAGGCTCTCGGCGGTTTCCCAATCCGACATTATAAGCGTGGCGTCGTCATACACAGCGTCTACGGATTTCGGTGCGTTCAGTGAATTCTCGACGTCCGACATTGATAGCGCCAGGCTTTCCTCTGCTTCCCAGGGCATGGTGAGTGGAGTGTTCATTGATGGCGGTTCCTTAAGTGCAATTTCTAAAGCTAATGATAAGTATTACTGCTGATTCATTCATTCATTTGATGAACCAGGAGGATGCGGAGTCTGAGGTGAGGAGGCTGAGGCTAGAGCTGAAGCAAACAATGGAGATGTACAACAATGCTTGCAAAGAGGCGCTCACTGCTAAATCAAAGGTAAACAAGATCAATAAAGCAGAGAACTTTGGGCCATGGCATCAATTTCAATATGCACTATTTTGATGAACAATACTGAGGCATTTAAGGACAATAAAGTTGCCAGTATGGCAGTATCTGAACTCCGCTTGATTTCTCTGGGCCAGGCAAGGGAGCTTCAGAGATGGAAGATGGATAAGGAGCAAAAGCTTGAGACAGCAAAATTGGCAGAGGAAGCGGCATTGGCAGCCATCGAAGAGGAGAAAGCCAAACGCAAGGCGGCCCTGGAGGCTGCAGAGTTTGCTCAAAAGCTCGTGGAGAAGGAAGCCTTGAATCGGAAAAACTTTGAAGAAAAGAAAAAAACAGAGTCTCTGCCTTACGGCGACCTCTGCTGCCGCCAATACACAATCGAAGAGATTCAAGAAGCCACCAACGGTTTCTCCAGCTCCCTCAAAATCGGCGAAGGAGGCTACGGTCCAGTCTACCGCTGCAACCTCGATCACACTCCGGTGGCGATCAAGGCCCTCCGCCCCGATGCGTCCCAAGGAAGGTCACAATTCCAACAGGAAGTGGACGTTTTATCTCGAATCCGCCACCCCAACATGGTCCTCTTAATCGGAGCTTGCTCGGAGAATGGTTGTTTGGTCTACGAGTACATGGCTAACGGGAGCTTGGAAGATAGGCTGTTCCGGCGAGGGAACACCCCGGCGCTGTCGTGGCAGCTGAGGTTCAGAATCGCGGCAGAGATCGCGACGGGCCTCCATTTCCTCCACCAGACGAAGCCAGAGCCGTTAGTTCACAGGGATCTAAAGCCAGGAAACATTCTCCTCGATCGCTACTTCGTCAGCAAGATCAGCGACGTTGGGCTGGCGAGGCTCGTCCCGCCATCGGTGGCCAACAGCATTACGCAGTACAGGATGACCCAGACTGCGGGGACATTCTGCTACATCGACCCGGAGTACCAGCAAACCGGAATGTTGGGAACCAAATCGGACATCTATTCATTCGGAATCATTCTGCTGCAACTAATCACGGCCAAGCCACCGATGGGGCTGACTCACTACGTCCAGCGAGCGATCGAGAAGGGGAACTTCGCCGACGTGCTCGATCCGGACGTGCCCGACTGGCCCGTGGAGGAGGCGCTGGCGGTGGCGAAATTGGGGATCCAATGTGCGGAATTGAGGCGGAAGGATAGACCGGATCTGAAGGACGTTGTGCTGCCGCAGCTCAGCAAGTTGAGGGAGCTCGCCGATGAAAAAATGGAGAGCTTCTTCTTCACCGCCGCTGTCACTGCCGGTGGGGGGAGCCTGGTCGGGTCGCCGTATAAAACCTCAATCCAACCGATGAGTGAACTGATGTCAGGGTATGAGAGCTCCAGGAGTCGATACAGTACGTCGTCGTTTTCTAGTGCTCAATAGTGAATGATTTTTTTTCAACACGTACGCGAGTGCATTGACTGATTGTCAATGCGAGCGAGTGCGTGTTTTGTCTCGGAAGGCAAGATGGCTGTAGGTGGCCACAAGCCCGTATAAAATAGCTCTGTGCACCTGATAAATTTTTGTGATAGCTTTGTAGAGATGCCATGAGATGAGAAAAATGCCAAACATCATCTTTGATTATTCAACACAGCCCCAAATATCAACGAATGGTTAATTAATGAGTGATTAGTTTGGTTGACCTTAATTTTCATTAGTAGAGAAATTGTCAATTTTTAGTTTGGTGAGCAATTGACCTCGTGTAGATGGCAATGGGGAGGAGCGGGCACCTCAATATCCATGCCCCATCCCACGTTACTGCGGATTGGGGCGGGTAACACCGGCACGGGTATAGGGTAGGATCAGTCGACCCGCTCTTACATGTTATTTGGAAAAAAAATACGCAAATTTTACTTTTTCCGATTAACGAATGGGAGAACACTTTATGAATGAAAATATTGATAATAGAATGGATAATTGAGTCTAACAAGTTGAAAGATCGACTCGAAATAGTTGAAGAAAAGTCAAAACAGGAGAAATATGTATAGAGACCGTAAGAAATTGAGATAAAATTAGCCAAGAACGGGCCAGGGCGGGTCGGAAGTAGATACTCATGCCCCTCCCCGCTGCTGCGGGTAAGGTAATACCTGCCCCATCGCGGGTCAGGTCGGTTAATACTCGCGGGGCAGGTTCAAATTGCCATCACTAGCCTCGTGGTCGGATGATCTTCGATGAAACGTTTACTAGTGACTAATGAGTCACTAAAGCGACCACTTTAAGTGATGAAAAGAAATAACATAACACTAGTTAAACTGTCCTACTCTCTAGTTGCTCATTAGGCCTTGTTGTGTGCGGTTCAGACGAGCAACTCGTGTGGCCTTTGGATTCCGACATTAGAGCGTGTCTGATCCTCACCTCACGGATTTTTCTTACTGCAAGAGATGTCATTTCAATTGCGGTATCATGGAGCTTGCCTCGTATCATTGTGGAAGGAGATGCGAAGCACTCATTTGACAACTTAACCAAGGTGGGTGGTGGATCCTTTTGGAGGCCCCCCTGCTTCTGGAGTGTCATTAGCTAGTTGAGTCTTACCTCATTATATAGTGTTTAGGGCGATTCAGAGGGCCGCCAAGTGGACTGCTCATAGAGTGGCACGTAAAACCATATTGTTGTCTCCTTTTGGTTAGCTTCTTTAGAGTTTGTAGGGTGACTTCACCATCGTGAGACATGGGAGGTCATGCAAACAAGTTATTTCTAACTATTGTGTCTTGTGATTTTTTGGGGAAAACTAAGAGAATATCATCGAAGAAACGAATTTGGCTAGGGTGCTAACAGTTTATTAGCACCAAGCTAACACATCCCGCAGCCAATTGGGTGTCTCCATTGGGTTGACTTTTACTTAAATGATAGTTGACTTGATTTAACAAAGGGTTTCACACAAAGGGGCACGCTGGTCATTTTAAATAATTAATTCAAATGGTGGTTTTCTCGGGCTTCGCCGTCTGAATCCATGTTTTCCTTTTACGATTTGTTTTTTTAGAGATGTCGTTGTTGAATTGAAAGAGTCGACGAAATTGAGTGGAGATTTGAAAGCCGGCAAATATTTTTCTTGTTTTGAGCTGCTTCTGTTGAGAACGGAGAGCGACTTTCGTTTTGATATAGCAGAGAGAGAGAGAGATATCGAGCAATAGAGAAATTTTGTGGAGATTTGAACGCCGACGATGGCAAAGTTGAGGATGTTGCTTTAGCGGGATTTGCGATAAACGAGGTCTTTGATGTTATTTTGTTTGGTTCTATTGATGGGGTGCAAATGCTGTCTATTGCTTCAACTTCTGATGGATCAACAAATATTGGATTCTAATGAGATCTTAGTTTTGAACTCTCAGTGTGATGGAGATCCTGAAGGCATGCTTTTCCTTTTTGCTTTCAATTCATTCCACAATGTAGATTAACCCCACAACTGTCGTAAACCACATGATTATTATGGTCAAATATCCCTCAAATACCATATAGTAATTTCCATCAACAACTTGAACATGTAGGGTACAAGTTTAGTAAACTGCACCGCAAATCTTATCATATATACTAGTAGTTTCATAAATCACACCATAAACCTTTTAGTTTATTGCACGCTCCAGTAGTGATAGGAGTATATCATTATGTAGGAGACCTCTGATGTAAATCACTATGTAGGAGATCTGTGATGTTTTGTAGCACTCCACAACTTACATGCATTCCTCAGGAATCAGAAACTAATTCTCACCATTGATCTGAACTTGTAGAGTACAAGTTCCATAAACCGCCCCATAAAGATTTCAATGACAGACTACAATAGTATGATGGCAAAGCATACCATAACCATGATGAAGTACACCACAAGTGACATAATCCTATCCAAAACATATAGAATTCATCTCATATTTCTCTATCTATACTCTGTTATTAACATATTCTTTCATCTACTGATTGCAAGAGAAGGTGTAGACTATTCGAGTTTGGGTCTTGAGTTCACGAGTGTTGAAGAGGCCTAAAACTTCTATGCAGATTATGCCCATGGTATTGGGTTTAGTGTGATCAGTTGTGTGTCTTGCTACAAAGAATAGTCAAGTGAAAATACCACGTTATGCATATTTATGCTGCACAAGCAAGGATGGAAACAAACCAGTGCAAGGAATCCTAAGAAAAAAGACAATGTTAATGTGGAGGCTTGTGAACATTATGTTGTAGAGACCCGAAATGGATGCACTGCCAGGATTAAATTCAAATATGATGTGAATAGAGATGTGTGGTTTCTTGGTGGTTGGGTGACCAGTCACGATGGACATGAATTACATCCTCCTAGGTTTAAACATATGCTGAAGTCAAATAAAGGCATTACTAAGATGCATGCAATGATTGCTGATTTGCATCATAAATCTAGTATTTTTCTCTTTCACTCATATCAATTGCTTGTATCCATTTATAGAGGGAGAGAGAATGTTCCATAACCAGTGTGAGATAAACATAGATGCCACCCAAGGAAGCAACGGTTCTACTTGAGTATTTTAGGTACCAAGCATATAAGTATCCCTCATTCTTTTATGAGATTGAGGTTAATTTTAATGAAGAGACTGCAAGAATCTTTTGGGTTGATGGAAGGATGCAATATGATTATAGCTTTTTTGGTGATACAATCACCTTTGACACAACATACAGGACAAACACGAATTATCGCCCTCTAGGTTTGTACATGTTTAGCTTTGTATTTTTTTCTCCCTCTTGTGGTATAATTTGAATCCATTTTAGAAGTTAAGGGATGAAGGCCACTATAATGTGAGTTTTTTTCAAAAATCTTTTATTGTTTGTCTCAGTTGCTCTAGATTCTTCATCAAAACTAGTAAATATGTATTAGGTAGTAGGGGAATGAAGGCTTGAAGTTATGAAATTTATACCAATTGTTGATTTTTTTTGTCTGTTTTTTTTTCCAGCACTATTTGTTGGATTCAACCATCATAGAGAGTTTCTGATATTTGGTGTTGCCCTCATTTTTTATGAAACAACTGCTACATTTAAGTGGATGTTGCAAACGTGTTTGAGTTGTATATTGGGGAAGCGACCAACATCTGTATTTACTGACCAAGCTGCTTCCATTGCTACTAGAATTAGGACCATCATTCCAGAGACATTCCACGAGCTTTGTACCTTTCATATAAAAATGAATGATGTGAAGCATCTTGACACTTGTGGCACGGATATACTAACAAATCTTGGTCATGGGTCTTTTGGTGTGAATAGTGACAAGAGTTTGAGTTTTGTTAGAATGTGATGCTGGAGAAGTACTATCCAGATGAAGACAACAATGGACGAATTTGGCTGAATTCAATTTACGAAGTCTGGAGGTGAATGACCACTTCCCAAGTGGTATGAGAAGCTCGCAGTTGTGTGAGTCGATTACAGCAACTTGAGGAACAATTTGCAACCTAGCTATAATCTAGTGAGTTCTTCACCTTCTTCAGTCAGATGGCTGAAAGGAAAAGATGGGATGAAGTTGCAAGTGATTATGAGGTGCTAATACGTTGCCAAACGACCTGTAAGTGTTTGGTTTTTGTTGTTCATGATAGTTTTTCTGAAGTAGGAGCATTAGTTGCATTTCTAGTTGCTTAAACATTTCAATGCAATCGAGAAGTATAATAAAACACACCATAAATACCATAATGCAGGCTAGAAGCTCTACATGACTCTCTAGTAATGTTAGTGTATAAGTAATAAACATTATGCATACTTGTAGTTTCAGTAATGGCCTTGTTCAAAGTGTATGTATCCCTGCTTATTAATTATTATATTCTGAAAAGATGGATGAGAGATGCAAATTAATGCTTCGTAATATAGCAAATAATTCCACTCAACCAGGTTCCCATTTGCTATGTTTTTATTACTATTTTGTTTTTTATGTGTTTAGAGAAATGAACACTAAAATTAATCAGTTTATTGATTAGCTTGTGATGCTTATTTGTTAAGTGGACTTGATCTTGTGTTTTCCCCTACCCACAGACCCTAGTGTATCTACTTATGTTCGTGCTGGTGCTTCCTCCACAAATAACAAGTACGCAAATGTTGAGGGATTCAAACTCGGAATAACCAATGGAAACCAAATAAAATGCCAAAGAGTGGTGCGGAGATAGGTTTGGAAAAGAGTAAACGTAAAAACAATGGGGGAGAGTCAGTTGCTAAGTGTTTGAAGAAGACGACGTAGTCAGTTTTATTTTATTTTAATCAAGAGTCTAGCTTCACAATTGTATGAGTACGTAGTAGCCCACATTCAATAGATTGCACACCACAAATTGTTAAATCAACTCCCTTAATTATTTGAATTGGACCATAAATAGTAGGTTGTTACCACTCCACATATATCCTAATGAAAAAGCTCTCTAGTAATTGAAGATAGTGGACTAGAAATAGCATATTGGTACAATACAAAACACCCTTTTACTTTTTTTCTAACTGTTAAACTAGTTTCATGCGACAATTTGATTTACCAGCCCACATATGTCACATACCACACCACAATTATCAAAAAGAAATCCTCAAATACCTAAAACCAAGTTCCAAAAATTGCAGACCACTACTCCCACAAACCGCACATAAAATTAAATATATAGGAAACTAGTTGCTTAAGCATCAAAGGTCACTAGTTGAAGAAACTGTATTTAACATACT